TGGATATGAAGCCAGATCGAATGCTTGCCTACTCGCACAGGCCTAACAATTATATCCCCTTTCCCATGCTCTCCCTGTATTTTAACCCAGAGGGTCTCAAGATGCCCTTCTTGGTTAGTGAACTCAGTTCCATTTTACAAGCAGATTATCCTGAACACCAGGGTATAGAATAAATTGCTGTGGGGTGGTGGTGGGGATTAGGGAAGGAAGCACCCTCCATCCTCCTGATAAGGTTGGGCCACTGGGTAGAAAGGTCAATGACTCTTTAGTCATAGGGTCAGAAGAATAAGCAAGAAGACACATGATTATATGATTCAGTGAGGAGCGCACTGCCTTGCAAGTGGGGAGTCTTGGGTTACAGTCCTGTTTTGAGCAATGTTTATGCCTTGTGTATTAAACTGTTAGAAATGACAAATTATCCCAACAGCAGCAACTGGAACTCAAGTCTTTCCCTCCCCTCCAGGAGATTGCCCTCATCACCAGATTGTCAAGGCAATAAAGGCATGCCTTTCCCTACTTACTGTCTTTCTGGTCCCTGGGAATCTTGCATTCTTTCCTGACCTTTGGTGTAGTTTAAACACATGGCCCCAACCAGACTATTTTATAGCTTATTAGTTAGGAAGGTGGGAGATGTTTCTGAGTCCTCCCCCATGCTGAGGAGGGACAATAACTCAGGTATCCCACTTTCTGGCTGAGTGCTCTCCCCCCTGTGGTGTTGTGTGTAAAAAGTGGTCACATCCAGTGGCCACGTTTGTGACCTGGAGTGGGCTTGGAGAATTGAAGGCACATTGGTCTCACTATTAGCTGCCTACGCCCTTACCCTATTCATTTAGCTAAACCTCCTCAAGTGAGGCACCTACATTTTTAAGTGTTCCAACACCTATGTGAAGGACCCCATAAAGATGATTGTATCTGGCTCTTAAACTTGTGCTTAAATTCAGTGGGGATTACTTACATGCATAAAGCTATGGCGTGCTGCCATTGCACAGGTGTTCAGCATGGGATCCCTAGTCATAGACAGGGACCTCTATCTGCAGGTGCTGTACTCTCATAGAAAAAAAAGATGAGAACTTCCTTGAAAGAGGTTACAGTCTGAGTGCAGGAGATGGGACAGTAGATGACTGTAGACATTGTTAGCAGGGGAGCACAAAGGAAACAAAAAAACTCTTGCTTAGCATTATAGGCAGTGGCCTCAGTGCATGAATAACCTCATCTTGTCAGCTTTCTTGTATGTGTAATCCTCCTTGTACGTGTACTTCTCTATGTTGGGCTATGGTTCCTGTCTATAATAGTAACCATATGTATTTGGTTGCTATAGTGACACAAAGTTCATTCACTGTGAGCTGTGCAGAGACTTGCAGTGAAGTGGCCCTCAGTTTTAGTGCAGGGATGGTGTCATTCCCTGGATGGCCTTGTGAATCATCAACTTTTCAAGGGAAAGTGCCATAATGGAGTCAGAAGCATGACACTCACAATAATTGAGCCATTTGAAGATCCCTGAGCCTGCTTTTGAGGTAGGTTGTGGTCTAAAAGAACTGGGGTTTCATAGGCAACCCAAAGAGGACCAGAAGCAATCCTGGGTGGTTTGGACGAGAAAGGATGACCGCTGGAGGTGGTGGAGGAGTGGTGGTGACCCTTAGAGGTAGTGACTGGAGCAGCAATTCCCAGCAATCTTTGGCAACCCCCCAAGTATCAGAGGGTAGAAGTAGACATCACATTTGTGCCACCATAAAAAATGTTATGGTGGTACAAAAGTTAAACAATGTCCCTATCCCTTGTCACACCACAAAAGCCCCACATTTGTGGCTGCAACATAGGGGACACGTCTACATATGCAAGTAATGTGAAGTAATAGATTCTGAAGTTTATTTCTCCAGAGTTTTTTGCTCTTGGGTACACTGTTTGAATGTGTGCCCAGGAGCTATAAACTTCAGAGTTTATTACTGTTTGAACATGTGCCCAGGAAGCTGACCTCCCAGGCTGGCAGACTGGCCCCTTGGGCCTCCTGCCAACTTGGGGATGCTTCCCCCAGTTCAATGTGCTGTGGAGGGGCTGGCTGGGGCATGAGGGTGCTTCACTGTGAGGCTAGCCAGCAGGCAGCCCCAGCACTGAAGCACTGTTGTACCCCAGCCAGCCCCTCTGGTGTCTACACATGCACTGCTGCGGAATATTTTATGCCATAGCAGTACAGTACTTGTATTTACAATTACTATCATGCTGTGAAGTAAATTAGTTTACTCCAGCATAATAGGGGTGCACGTGTAGATGCCAAGACATTTACTGCGCAGCTAATTAATCTATTGCACAGTAAACATTGTGTAGACATGCCCAAGTGGTGCAGCTTTAGTGTGCATCAATTTGTGCTGCTTTAGTGTGACAGGCACCAGATAGATTTATGGCAAGAGAGCTCAGTCAGCCAGGAGCAGCCTGTGCTCTTCACACCTGATGAAGATTGTTGTGCATTCAAAAGTTTGTTTAACTCTATCTGAACTATACTGTTGGTCCAATAAAAGATATCCCCTTAAGAAATCCTTGCCTCTGTCATTGGATATGATATCAGCCTAGCAGAAATAGGCCTTAATATAATCCTCAGTGAGATGAAGACAGATAGATATGTGAGATGAAGACAGATAGATATGTGAACCAGAACTCTAAGCATATGGGACTTTCCAGTAAAAAAATTACGTGCATTATAATAAACGGTTGATACAAGAATAAAGGATGCATCACAGGGAAAGGGAAACTTATGTAGAAATTGGTTTTGGTGAACATGACTTCCCCTTCACTGTACTAATCACATCTCTAATTTGGAAATACTGACTGTCAGGAGGTTCAGGATATTTTTTTTTGTGTGGTAGGGTGCTGAAGGCTATAAATGTTCTCAGTTGATGATCTGTGCTTGTGCTGATAACATGGACAAATTCTGTAAGTGAAACTTCTACGTTGAGTTCATTGATGTGGGGCTGGGTTGTGTTGCCTGTTAACTGGCAACTTGATTTCTTGCTTCCATCTCTTTTTAACACTTCTACTTTTTTTCCCTTTTCTTTCCAACTGTGTTTTTTGTTTTGCATGCATATTTATTGTTTCTTCCCCAGTGATCCTTTTTCTTTTTCTCCACTACTCCTAAATCCTTTGAAGTTGGTGGGAAAATTCCTATGCATTATCATACTTTGGATCAAACACTAGTAGTGCTTATGCAATTTTTGGAGAAAATGCTCATTTACATACATGGGTATCAAAGGTAAAATTTGGTTGCACTAAAGTTCAGATCCTGAAACACTCTTCGTTTCCCCATTAATTTAATGGGAAACAGGATCAGCATCTAACAGATAGATCTGTTTTCTTCATGTGATGTAACTCTTGTGAGACAAAAACTAAATGGTAGTAAGCTGATGGCTCCGTCTTCAATACCTCTGCTTGTCCAGGACTGCACAGGAGAAGACCAGTCTAATAAAAGCAATGATTTCATGGGAATTTTTATGTGAATAAGATTTATAGCATCTGTGGTTAAAGCCAGCCATATTACTCATCGGGAATTTATGTAATTTATTTTCTTGAATGAAACTGGTATCACTGGAGAAGGAAAGAGAGAACTAGTCCTACTCTGCAGCAGGTCTTTGGAAATAGAAAGAGAAACTGGAAACTAAGTTTCTGTTCAGGAAAAACTGAATTAGTATTCAGTGACCATGTCTACGTGAGATGCTGACTGCACAGTTGCTACTGCACAGTAATTTAGTATTGTATAAACAAATATTAAATGAATGCACAGTAACTGGAGTTACTGCACAGTTGTGCTGAGGAATGACTTCTTCATGATGCTGACTATTCAGTAGCTTCTATTGTACAGTAGCATCACATCATGCTTCCTGCCCTGCAGTCTTATTGCACAGTAGTCAGGGGAGATAAATCAACAGGTACTAGTCTTTACAACATCATCACTGGGCGTGCTACCGTGATGTAGCATCGGTGTCATGGTTTGTGCCTACCAATGCTACGTTGCCATAACAACAAGCTATGTCACGGTAGCTCATCACTATGGCAATGTAGTGTCTCATGTAGATGCGCCCACTATGAAATTAAATATTTTATGACTTTAAAATTAAGTAGTAACCTTAACTAAAAGCATTCTCCACATGGGTGAAATTGTTGTTGTTGTTTTTAAATCAAGCTAATTTGAAAATTAGCATGAAGAAAGTTATAACTACAATTCAGACATAACTAGAACAATCTATGGTCTATCCTAGGGTTAAATAGTTTAAAAATTATATCAATTGATTTTAAAACTGATTTTATATTTTGAGGGAAATATTCCCAGTGTGACAAGGCCTTTAGGGCAACAAGGATATTTTTTCTCTTTTGGACTGAGATTTTTTTAAATGTCTGTAGATTATAGGTAGCTTCATTCTTCCAAGATGCTAAGGGCCAGAAGGGACAGTTACAAGTACTGTGTCTGAACTCCTGTGTAACACAAACTGCAGGATTTCACTTTACAATTCCAGCAGCAAGCCCATGTCTTGTAGATGACCTGAGCTGCAAAGAGAAATTTGTTTGTCTCCATGTTGAAAGGTATTAAAAAGAAACCTATTTTTTCTGGAAAAGCTGATCATCCTGCTATTTGAAAATTAGCCCTGTTGAGGCATCTCAGTCTGGTCACACAAAATCACTAGGAGGTTTGGAAGGGGAGAAGTTACTACTGTGTCCCTATATGTTGGGTATGATGTACCAGTGAAGGGTGTCACCTGCATTGTCCTGGAGAACAAGTCACATTCTTGACTCGTGCTACCTGGGCTCACCCCCAGCTTTCAGAAAGGCATGGGAGAAACATATTTTAAGTGATAGACCCATCCCAAAAGATCTCATAATCTGTGATGATGTTACATGTCTGCTGGTAAAGTCAAACACTGATCTTTGCTTTCTGACACAATTGAGACTCGACCCAAGATCTACTGTAGGTGGTGGCAGGCCAGTTGTCATGCCCCTTGCCTTCAGGGTTCCCGAGAATGAAGTTGCTGATTACTTGTGTCATTAACAGAACTATTCTTTCGTTTGTGCATCTATCCCTAGCACTTTTCCAGCTGTTTGTCCTTGTGCTAGCTCTAAGTGCGGGAGGCGTTTCTAGCTATCCTGAACACTGCCTTCATGATCCTGATTATGATCATCTGGTGAAGATTGCCAAACACGGACTGGGAAAGGCAGCCCATCCAAAGAAGATTGTCATTGTGGGGGCAGGAATAAGTGGACTCACTGCTGCCAAACTTCTCAGGGATGCGGGTCATAAGGTAATTACCTGAAGAAAGAGATGTCAGAGGCAGTCAGTGCTAATTATCACATTTTTCCTTTTTTATTGTCTGAAAATAAAACTGGTTAGGCTGAAGAACGGGCCAAACCAAGTTAAACTGATAGAACAATGGACTCAAGTTGCAGCCGCTGACATTTAGGTTGGGTAGTAGGAAAAACCTTTTCACCAGGATGGTGGTGAAGCACTGCAATGAGTTACCTAGAGAGGTGGTGGCATCTCCATCCTTGGAGGTTTTTAAGGCCCAGCTCAACAGAACTGTGGCTGGAATGATCTAGTTGGGGATGGTCCTGCTTAGAGCAGGGGGTTGGACTAGATGTGACCTACCAAGGTCCCTTCTAACTCTTCTATGATCCTGTGAAACTTAAAATGGCTATTCAGGGTGTGGAAGGCAGGAAGGAGGAAAAGCTACTGTAGGTTTTTATGCCCTAAGAAAAGAGACCTCCAAAAGCACCAATGAGACTTGGTTCCCAGACCCTATTGTCTCTGTTTGGAAATAAGCAGGTACCTAACCATGGGTGGATCTAAGATTTTGAAAAGTGGGGTGCAGTTGGTGTGGTGCATCATTACATACAACATAGCAATTATTTTTCTCCAATGAAAGGGAAACTAGCAGCTTTACTGTATGCTAGAGGGCTAACACAATATTATTCGGTTTAAGATTAAAGCAAAAAACTAATATAACTATTGGAATGTGCCCTAAGTTGCTACATTATATATAACATTAAAAAAACCCACATAAATAGTCAAAAATAATCAAAAAATATTTTCTCATTTATCCCATAATCATTGTAGCTAAATATACATCTCTGATTCATGTTCATGAAACAAAATGTAACCTTCTTGAGTGTCTTGATAGTGCCTCCAATACTTTAATGTCCATCATTTCTACACCTGAGTTAAGCTTTTCAGATAGAATCAAAAGCAGTCTGCCTGGCTGTGAAATAAAAGAATCACCTTTCCAGGAATGGCTGTTAGACAGCAGAATAGTAGAAGAAAGGATAGTCTGAATAGTGGAAGGTCAAGACCATTAAAAGAGATAGGATTATTAACACCTGTGGAGTGATGAGTGAGATGACAATGAGTCATGATGTTAATTGACTCTCTCAGTGCTGTCTGAATAGAAATGCTGCTGCACCTCTCAGGCAGTTGGTTTTAAAGTTTGGGTGGAGCAGAAATCAAAGCAGGGTGCAACTTCAGCACAGCATGCCCCCCTGGATTCACCCCTGCACCTAGCTCACATTTCTGTCTGAACACTTCCCTGAATCTTCAGTAAATTTGGGGGAATTACAGTCAAGAGCACAACACACAGAAAGTGGAAAAATAATGGAGAAGCTACAATTTAAAAATAACCCTAGCCACACTAAAAAGGGAATAAATCCAAGTAGTAAATGTCAAGTTTCAAATATCTGTAAAGGACCTACATGTTACAAGAGTTATTCAAGAATGTGACGATTGAAATGCCAACACAATAACACTCAGTTTTGATTGACTCAGAAACCACATGAACAGTCAGGGTAGATCACATTCCCTCCTGGTTATCTAAGTAGCTGTTTTCTGGTTGTCTACATGGCACTTTTTGCATATATGTGCATGTAGGGGTTTTGTTCCTGTGCAGGTAGTTCTGCACATGTAGATGGTAGTGATTGGGGCACTTGACTAGGAAACCAAAGACCCAGGTTTTAGCCCTCTCCCTCTCCCAAGAGGGTTTGAATATCTGCCTTTCTAGCATGATACTCCCAACCAGGACCATCGCGGGGGAGGTGTTGGGGGGGTGAATCAAGGTGACTGCCCCAAGCCCTGCGCTTTGGGGGGACCTGCGGACAGTGCTGTACAGGCCCTGCTGCGGCTCTCATCTCCACGTTCCGGCCGCTCACCACCCCTTACCCCACTCCACGCTCTAGCTGCTCGCCACCCACTGGCCCCACATGGGTTGATATGCCCTAGGGCTCACACACCTCTAGGGACAGCTCTAACTCCAACCACACGTCAAGTACTGCCAATTCATTGTCTAGTACTTCTTTTGAAAGTGGCCCACTAGGCAGCCATGAGAAGGTAATGGATGGGGTCAAAAAGAAGCAAACCAGCCAGAAGGTTTACATGTCATGGAGTGGCTTGAGATAGGAGCCTTGAGTTCTTGACTGGCTCCTTGCACTCAATGAGGCAGATACTTACCACCTGCACTGCCCTCCATCCAGTTTTGGAGGGGCAAAGCACTTCTTCCTTTCTGTTGACTCTGATGAGGTGCCAGTGGAGCATCTTTGAGATATCAGAACATTTAATTGCCCGGACCAGGATTAAGGCCCCAGGGTTTGGAGGGTGGTTCATTAGCAGCTAAGAACTTTTCAGCGACTTCATTAGTGACTGGAAGTCATGGGCTGTGTATGTTCCTAGGTTATAGTCTTGGAAACCAGTGGTAGTATAGGAGGACGGGTCAAGACCTATCGCGATGAGACACAAGATTGGTATGTGGAGCTGGGAGCCATGCGTTTACCAAGAATCCACAGGTAATGTACCTCTCATTTCTCCAACACACTCAGGAAGGGAGGATGGTGTGAAGAATATGTACTATGATTAAGGAGGAGGCAAAAGTCTGACTTCAGGACGTAATATTTCCCACCATTCCTCGTCTCATCAGTTTGGGTGGGACCATGCCTAGGGGTAAACAGAACACTCACTAGCCTGGTTTGTAGGATTGGCAACTGATAACTTGTAGGAGCCTCAGCACACACATGTTATATTAATAGAAAACCTCCCATTAACTTTAACAGAAGGAAGGTAGATAAAGTCCTGCACCAAAGTCAGATCAGACTAGATTAGACTAGACCAGACAAGAATATTTTTCTGTTTAATTGTATGGAACAAAAGCAAAATCACAAGCATGACAAAGAATAAGACAAAAAAGCACAACACACACTTTTTATTTAAAGGAAATCATCATTGAAGTTCATGACCAGAACAACCATAGAAATATTGTTACTAATTAATGCGCTAGGTGGCAACACCACTGAAATAATTGAAAATGCAGGGAGCAGGTTCTATTATCATATTTATTCATTTATCTATGAATAATATTGCTAACATAAGTTGTAGTTGGGGATTTTTCAATTTGACAAATTACATACTTCAAACAATACTATTTTTATATCCAATTAAGCATGTAATTTGTTTTCTCATTTTGACTTTCTTTTTCTCCTGTCTGTCCCCTTTTCTTTTCCAGGATTGTGCGTGAATTTATTAGACAATTTCACCTGAAGCTAAATGAGTTCTCTCAGATGAATGACAATGCCTGGTATTTGGTTAATGGCATCAGGGCGAGAGTAAGACAAGTCAAGCAAAATCCCGATATGCTGAATTATACTCTGCATCGTTCAGAGAGGGGCAAATCTGCTAGTGAACTTTATAGGGAAATTCTGCAGGCGGTATGTATATTGGTGGGTTGTAGAAAGCCATGGTAGTTCCTGGTGTGGGGGTCAGTCCTGAGCAGGTGTATCATAGCTTGAAGTCTCTAGAGCAGCAGTTCTGAACTATTTTAGGCTCAAGGCACCCCTCATCAGACTCAAGGTGCCCCTCCATAACTTCTATGAAGTGAGTGGCATCCCATAAAAAAAATCTAATTTATTTATTACAGTGCTTACCTCTTTGCAGATAGGGAAGGCAGTTGGGGTGGAGAGCAGCTAGGCAGGAACACTCTGAGTCTTCCCCTAGATGCTTATTTCTTCACACCTTCCTTATCTTCTCTCGCTTCCTGAGGTGCCCTTCAAAGCATCTTGAGGCACCCCAGGGTCCCCCAGCACCCTGATTGAGAATCGCTGCTGTAGAGATAGGATGAGGTCTGTATGATAGGCCAAGAACTGTCAGACAGACATGCATCATAACACTAGTTCAGTGAACTTCAAGTTCATTCAGTACTCCGAGTTACCACTACTGTGAGTCCATTGGAGTATATTCCTGATTATTTCTGGGAATCAGCCCCAATAACTCAGTGGGGTAAAATCCTGATTTGCCCTGGGGTGAGTGGGAGGACAATCAGTGATTTAGGTTTTAAAATATTGGCTTTCTCCTTTGCTGTACCATTTTGGGGGCTACTGGAAGACTACTTTGGTTTGCTCTAATTTGTATTGTGGCATATTAGGCCTTTCGTGGTCTGACCTGTCCTGGGTTTCTCCTTTGTTAACACATCCCTTCTTAAGGCCATCCCAGTGACAAGGAAAGTATTGGCTGCTGCATTAAAATGCACCTAATGGTGGATCTGGCCATGATTCTTCTCTTCGGTCTTGTCCATACAGAGATACTGAGGACAGTCCATTTACTAATGGTGTGAATGTCAAGTGGATTATTTAAAATGCAGTGAACCTCTGTTTAAATGCTCTCATCCAGAAGTAAGGTCACATGGACATTTACCATATAGCCCCCACCCCCATCCTCCTCCACACACCCCTGCTACACACATACACACCTCCCCAAGATAGTCCCCAAGCCTTGGCCCTCCAACCCCCATCCCCCATAGGGGTATCTGCATCCAGCTGCCAGAGCTGCTCCCACCATCCTGCCTGGCTGTATGCTGGCTAAATGCATGTGTGTGCATAGATGCATGTGGTACCCCCTGCCTCCAATCACCCCAAGCAGCTCCTTGCAGGCTGAAAAGCTGCCAGCCTGCGATGGGAAACCCATGGTTTCCTCCTTTAAAGAGGCTAATCCGCATTATTCCGCAGCAAGTGGAAAACCTGGATCCCTGGTAAACATGCACGCTGCTGGGGCAAGCTGGGAAATGCAGCAAAAAACCCAGCAAAATCCCAGATATTTGTTCATATTTAAAAAACCCATCTGGATGGAGAACAGAGGATCCAAAAAGTGGACACATCCGGGAAAACTTGGATGTATGGTAACCCTATGGCTGTAGGAGCATGCTATCTTGGGGTGAAATTTGAGGGGCTTTACCACGCATCAGCTGCTGTATGGTAAATGTCCATGTGCATGCATTTACTGCCTGGCAGATGGATACTAAACTTCTTATGTCCTGAATGAAAACGTGCTAATGTTCCATGGATTAGTTCCCCGTACTGTGGAATAAGGGCTGGCACACAAACAGCTATCGTAAAACAGCTAGTGAGTGTTAACTCCCTACCCCATAATGATTATTTGTGATATTGTCATGTGTCCATAGCCTTATCCAGCAGAATAGATTTGATCTAGTTTTTCTCAGGTCCCAGTTAATTTGTCAGAATCCCACCTGCTATTCCTTCTAAACATATTTCTCTTTCTGTCTGTTCATATGCCCCTGGTTCCTACACAGGCCATATTGGAGCTCCAGAGTTCAGAATGCAAGAAATATTTGGATAAATATGACTCTTTTTCTACCAAGGTAATGGAAATGTTTGTTGAGTGCTTCTACATCCAAATGTTTAACGGCAAGACTGAAACAATTGCTCTGCGCTACCCATATTCACCCCAAGGAGGAAACCTAATGACATAATTTTTCATGTCAATTTTGTCATCTACTGAAACAACCAATAAAGCAGAAACCAAAAGGAGAAAGGAAAAATCATATTCTGAATTTGGATGAACACTTTACTTGAATTGGCTGGCTTTGGATGACCAGAATCCTCATTTTAACCTAGCTCCTGAGTTATGGCTCTATTATTCAAACATAAGGAAATGTCAAGCTTGTGGGGAAAAACATCCTGAAAATGTCAATCTTGTTTCCATTTTTACTGTAATGTTGTTTTGATGTAAGGCACTGAGATTCATGCTTAAGCATATCTTGCTATAGATAAATCACAAACTTGGATAAAGTAAGTGGGTGTGCTAGACAGAAGTTTTTGGAGTCATTAAAAATTCTCTGAAGAACAGTTTTCAAGCAATTAGTTTTACAGTATCACGTGAGATTCAGTGAATGGTTTCAGTTGAAAAACATGAGGCAAATGTTGAAAATGTCAAACAAGTTCATTTTGACATTTTCAAAATAAAATGTTTCCATCTGGAAAGGCCAAAACTTACATGGTAATGTTATTTTAAACAATGTCTTTTACTCTAAATTTTGAAATATTTCCATTTAAAAATCTATCTAAATTTAATTTAAAAAGGGTAAGAAAAGGCTTTCAATAAGGGCTAAAAATCCTAAGAAAACCAAATGAATGTGTTTGTGTTTTTTACTTTGTCAAAATATTGGAAAATCTGTTTCCATTTTGTCTGAATTATTTTCTTTTCTGAGTTTTGGTTTTGCCACCAACCCCCAAATTCTGTATTTTCCCCATGTTTATTAGTGACCATTCTTCACTGGTGCTATTAATATTCTTTGTCATATGAGACATCTGAGACAAAGGAAGCTACTACCCAATGCAATAGGCTACATGGCAAGACCAAGCAGAGGCTAACCCATGTAGGATGATGGTATTTCCTTCAGACTGGTTGCAAACGGAGCTGCAAGGTGTGTGCTTGTGTGTATGTGTGTGCGCACTTGTGTGCATGTGCATGTGTATGTGTCTGTGCCTTTGTGTGCTTCTTTAAGTGAGGAAGGTAAGAAGTCAGGAGAGTGAGAGAGTAGGAGTGCTGAGCATGGTCCTAGGAAGACACCAAGTGACACAACTTCTTTTGGGGACAGAACTTTCTGAAAAGGCAGATATAAAAAATGCCTCCTGATTTCTTGTTTCTATTGTGTCAGGGACAGCAGAGTGTGTATACAGGCTTTGTAGCTTAGCACCAAGTTTGCATGGTGACTTTTTCTTCTACCAGGATCAGTCCAGCTAGGTCCCAAATGCTGCCCAGTTAGTCACTTTCTTCTTTTCACCAACAGGAGTATTTGATTAAAAAAGGAAACTTAAGCCATGGGGCTGTGAAGATGATTGGTGACTTGCTGAATGAGGACTCTGGGTATTACCTGTCATTTCTCAGCTCTCTCATGGATTTTGATATCTTCTCTCATGAAGAGGGGTAAGGAAGGAACATACTGAAATTCCAAACTCTTTGGGGTGGACAGCAACTTTTGTACAAGTTTAATGAGGACCTTGGAAATGGGACCCAGTTCTTGGCTGCTGGGCCCTGGATGTTATTGAAAAAAACAATCCTTATTTGCAGAGTTGAGTGGGAAAGAAACAGAAACTGTGGCTTCTCAGCTTGAAATTGCTTTGTGGCAGTTAGGATATGCAGAACGCATCCTGTGTGTGTAACCACAGGTGCTATGCTGCCTGCGTTCTAGCCCTTCATTGCTACAAACATTATTGGGGAACAACCTTTGCAGAACGACCTGTGTTTTTTAAGGTTTGGCTTAAATTCACCTCTGCACAGAGAGCCAATAGCAGCAACAGTGTCCCATGTCATCTTATGCTGTGTTTTGAGACATTTCTGGGGGCCTCGTAGTCACCTGTGTGATTTTCTGCTCCAAGTGAAGGTCTTTGGCTCAAGCCTGTGGTGGGCTGCAATTCTTACTATTGCCTTCTCAGTCATTTTCTTTTTAAGAAGTGTTAAAACACTGAACTGGGGCTTATGTGAGTTCAGTTCCTGGCTCAGTGAAAGATTTCATGGGGCAGCATGGGAGAGTGTTGCTTCCTTTGTTCCTTGGTTTCCCTATTTCTAAACCAGGGACAGTCACTCTTCCTAGTGTGTCATGTGTATGTACAGTATGCCAGGCCTCAAATTCTACTTTACTGCTTAGACATTGCCTTTGCTTTTCGTAAGCTAATGTTATCAGGCAGGAACAGGAACTTTAACTCACTTGTTAGGGTTGCCAACCCTCCCAGGTTGGCTGGGAGTCTACTGGAATCAGCACTGATCTCCCGGTGACTATTGAAAGCAATCCAGGAGATTGATGTTATGAATGGGTTGAGCAGCCAATAAATGCCCCATGCATGTGCACAGCCGCAGCGCAGCACGCAGGTGGCCAGGAGTGCAGCACGGCAGGGTGGAGACTACCTGGGTCCGGCTGGTAAATCTGTTACGAAGGAAGTGGGGGAGGGGCCGTACAAGGCCCCGGTGGCGAGGGAGGGAGTGGGGCTGGAGCTGGGGCAGGGGCAGGCGCTGCACAGCCGGGGCAGGGTGCGGGACGGAGCAGTTAGTGGCTTGTCTGGGGGACACAGGCAGGGTGGTGGGTGGCTTCTGCTGCTGCACACACGATGGGAGGGCATAGGGGGTGCGTGCAAATTTTGGGGTGGCTGCAGCCCCCCTTCCAGCAGTGCCTCTGCCCGCCCCGCCCCAGCCGCTCCTGCTGGGAAGAGCCCGGTGCCACCCCTGGCCCCTGCTCACAGCTAATCTCCTGGAATATCTTCAGTCAAAGTTGGCAACCCTATTACTTGTGGCAACACCTATTGCACTTGACATACCCAAATGACAGCTCTTCATATTTCAGCCTTTCTAGCTGAATGGTTAAGGCACTCACCCAGGGAAGTAGATAACTGGGGCTCTAGGCCTCTCACCCAGAGTGAAGCTGAAACTGCATCCCTCCAGCTTCCCAGCACAGTGCTCTAACCACTGTGCTATAGTCAGTGTGAATGAGATGTGTACTTTTTTTCTGCACCAACCTCTCCAGAGACTTAAGCAGAATTGCGGTGCGCCCAGTAACACTTTGAATTGCAGTGGCTCTAAGGCAGTAATTAGGAGCTCAGAATCACTTTTGAGGATACTCAGAAGCCCCAGCGTAAACATTTAGGGAAATTTGCCATCAAAAATAGAGGTGCCTATTGAGTTTTGGGGCCTGTTTGAATCACTCCACCTAGATTCCTTTAGGTGGGAATCGTATTATGAGAGTCACGTTATATGCTAACCATAGCTTAGAGGGATCCCCTTCTCCGCCATACCTCTTAGAAGCAATTATGTTACTGCTACAAATAGTTAAGTGTCTATTTTATTTTTTCAGCTTTGATGAGATCACAGGGGGCTTTGACCAGTTGCCCATTGCCTTCTATTACTCTATGCCTGGCATTGTTCAGCTTAACTCCACGGTTGAGAAGATAATAACAAATGGTAACATGGTTCGAGTGCTTTACCGTGCACCAGACACACTGACTCCTTATGTACTGACGGCTGACTATGTCCTCATTACAGTTTCAGCCAAAGCCACAAGACTCATCAATTTTATGCCACTGCTTTCCCCCCAAAAGGCACATGCCTTGCGCTCTGTTCACTACTCCAGCTCCACCAAGATTGCCTTGGCCTGCCCTGACAGGTTCTGGGAAAGAGATGGGATTCATGGTGGGCAGTCAATCACGGATCATCCCTCCAGGTTCATCTACTACCCCAACCACAACTTCTCCAGTGGTGTGGGTGTGATCCTGGCTTCCTATACTTGGAACGATGATGCTGACTTCTTCGTTCCTCTCAGTGATGAGAAGTGCATTGATGTAGTGCTAGACGACCTTGCAGAAGTACACGGCATACCCAAGGACCACATCCAGTACGTCTGTGATAAGCATGTGATAAAAAGGTGGAACTTGGACAAACATTCCATGGGGGCGTTCGCCTTCTTCACCCCGTACCAGTTTATGGACTATTCCAAGGCCCTGTTTCAGAAAGAAGGGAGGGTCTATTTTGCAGGAGAGCACACAGCTTGGCCTCATGCCTGGATTGATTCTTCTATGAAATCTGCTGTGAGAGCAGCAAGAAACATTCACTGGGATAGCAACCTACCTCCAGGGCAATAGCTGCAGCAGGAAGAGGAGCCGGAGACTGTTAGCTTGGGTTTCAGAGATGAACTTTAATGTCTCCAGAAGTATTTGGGGAAGAAACAGAAGAGCTGGACACCAAACCCAGACATAGTAACTGTGCTGCTACGCACCTTCACCTGGCACACGTCCTCAGCTGGTGAAAATCCAGATGTTTCCTTTCAAGTCAGTGATGTCACATTGACACATACCAGCTTAGAATTTGGCCCCAGGTGTGTTTCAAATAGGATTATTTTTTGCTTTCTCCCTTGAAACATTAGGCAGATAGAACAACAGTAGAGAAAACTCATTCATCAAAATAATTGCTGCTCAAATGCACTGCACTCACTTTTTTATTTAATGCACATGCATACAGAGTTATAACTCAAGTGCACACTTCATATATCAACTTATATAGCTATAAGAGATATATATATATAATATATATAATATTATATATATATATATATATATATATATAAAATAAAGGGCTTAGTCTGTCTGTCTGTCTGTCTGTCTGTACGTAATGCTTTTGCTCAAGTGTGCATGCGCTCCTGAGACAGGGTGACCATATGTCTGGGTTTCCCTGGAAGTGTCCTCTTTTTGAGCCCTCTGTTTGCCATTTGGGTGGGTTTTTTTAAATCTTCCCAGATGTCCAAGTTTTTCCTGTGCTCCACTGGTGGGAGCAGGGGGATGGCAACTGGAGGCATCAGGGAGCACAGATGTAGGTGCCAGCAGTTGCAGAGGCAAATGCAGACCCATGCAGTGCTGCCTGGTGCCCTTAATCACCTCCCGTTGCTTCCACCCCTGGAACACAGCAAAACGCAGGATATTTGGTCAGGGCAGGAGGAGCGGGGACTGCAGCTGCGAGAGGCCAGTGCGGGAGGGGTGGGTTGCCTGCCCCTCCTGCAGGGAAGAGGGGCAGTGGGGCAGTGGGGAACTCTGTGGCCAGGCTGGCAGCACAGGAGCCTGTTCTCTGAGGGGTTGAGCAGCTAGGACCCAGTTCCCTGGGGTGGGGGAAGCAGGGAAGGAGGAGATGGGCTGCAGCCAGGCGCTCACAGGGCAGTACAGCCCTAGCCCAGGGCAAGGGTGCCACAAACCTCCCCTCCTCTTCCTTCTAGCCCACGTTGGGGCCAGACATGCTCCACTGCTGCTTGCATGAATTGGAGCCACTGCATGCGTTGGGAGTGAGGGGTACCAGGGTGGGGACAGGGGACTGTGGGTTGGCAATGCGGGGGACACTGGCAGTGCCAGGGAGCTGTGGGTCAGGAGTGAGGGGCACAAGCAGGGAAGTGGGGGCGGGGAGGGGCATGCTGTGGGTAAAGAGTGAGGGACACCATCATGGCCCAGGGGGCAGGGTACTGCAGTTTGGTGAGTGAGGGGCACTGCCAGCGCCAGGGGGCTGTGTCAGGATTGAGGGGCACCAGCAGGGACAGGGAGTGGGGCGGCTGTGGGTCGGTAGTGAGGGGCACCAGATTTGGGACGGGGGACTGTGAGTTGGGAATGCAGGTCCCTGGCAGTACCAGTGGGCTGTGGGTCAGGAGTGAGGGGCACCATCATGGCCCAGGGGGCAGGGTACTGCAATTTGATGAGTGAGGGGCACAAGCAGGGCTGGGCTCAGTGGGTCAGCAGTGTGGGGCAGCAGCGTGGGGCAGCAGCAGGGCTAGGGGGCTGTGTCTTGGCAGTGAGGGGCAACAGAATGGGCAGGGGCATATATAATCTATAATATAATATATAATGTTATTTCTATATGTATTATTTAGCATATTATCAGTGATAACATACATGAAAATAAGTCAATATTTCTCTGTCAATATTTTTTTCTATTTATTAATTATCAAGTATGATCATTTACAGGAGAGAGGTGATGGAATAGGTAAGGGTGATGTTCATTTTAATTCCACATCAGTTCTAGTCAGGTACGTTTTTGTAAGAATATCCCTAACACCGTATTACATGAAAACAGGTGGATCCTGATGGCATTAAAGTGCTGCCTTTACCAGGCATCTGATCTGTGTTGTAACTCACGCTAATAATTCTTGGTATTTTACATGCAAGTGTTTGCTACTTGTGCTTCAGCTTTGGGCTCAGGGACCATCAGCAGAAACAAATGTTTGTATCCTGGAATGAGTAAAAGAATGTAGTATATTCAGAGACCTTGTAAATTATTTCATTTCTGAGAAAATTGGAATGCAACACTTCCTGATCCTGCTATGGTAGGGGGCTGTGGGACAAAAAGTTTCTTTAAGTACTCAAAAAAATCAGTTCAGTGTGCAGCAGCAGCCAAAAATGACAACCAAATGTTAGGCATCGTTAAGGGAATTGAAAACAAAACAGAGTACACCATCATGCCATTATACAAATCCATGGTGCTCCCACATCTGGAATACTGTGCGCAGTTCTTATCCTTACACCTCAAAAATGATGCAGTAGAATTAGAAAAGATACAGAGTAGGGCCACCAAAGTGATCAGGGGTCTTGAGCTGTTGCCATATAGGGAGAGACTAGAAACTGCTAGGGCTCTTCAGTTTGGAAAGGAGGGGCTGATGGGGGGATATATAGATGTCTGTAAAATCATAAAGGGTGTGGACCAAATGAACAGAGAACCGTTGTTCATTAGGTCCTGAAATACTAGAGCCTAGGGGGCACCCACTGAAATTAGTAGGTGACAAGTTTAAAATTAATAAGAGAAAGTAGTTTTTTTTGCAATGCCTAGTTTACTTGTGGAGTTCATTGCCACAGGAAGTGGTGGCAGAAGATAGCACAGCCAGGTTCAAAAAGGGACCGGATAAATTCATGGATGATTGAACTATTAAAGGCTATTAGATAGAATGATTGGAGATGTTTCCTCTGGCATCTCTAAACCAATAAATTGTGGATGCCAGGGTGGGTAGACATATCTGGTTCAATGCTTTACCTCTATAGCATCTACTTCTACCACTGTTGAATACTGGGCTGGATGGACCACTGGTCGGATCCAGTATGGCTATTCAAATGTTTTTATGTGAAGGACCCTCCCAAACTGAAGGGTGTGATTCTGAAAGTGAAGGATGAACTTCTGACATTGCACGGAACAGTGCTTATCCTGACTCATTTCTACTGCCTTTTCTTATCTTGGCTAGTACCTAAGCTAATGGCTACCCACTGGGACACTATTATGAGCAGGTACTTATAAATGAGGTGTCTGCAAATGTGTCACCAACACCATAAAGTATTTGCTTTCCTATCCCTCATTTGCATCCCTCCACTGGCTCCACTTTTCCATTGCATCAGACATAAGTTTCCTTTTACCTTCATAGCCCTGCATGGGATCTATGTGTGGTCACGGCCTGATCTCTGCAGCTGATTCCAGTGGGGAGAGTTCAACTGTGTTTGGCTGGTCAGTGAGTTACCCCGAATGCTTGATCTCCCCACTCAGGATTTGCCTGTGCCAGCACAGCATGCTTTCCAAACAGGCTGGACACAACCTTTGGAGACTTCCACACACAACCCCTGCAACACAAAGCTGCCCTTTGGGAGTGCTGAAGCATGTCTGTTTCCCACTGCCTACGGGTTACTAAAGTTATTGCCTTCAACCATTGCACTGCATCCTGATAGTGCACCTTGCAATGCTGTTGTGGGGCCATCACCACATCAGTGACTGACGCAGCTGTCAGCATGTGCAGGATGCGATGGAGGTGCCTCCATCCATCTGCTACTGTACAGCAAAGCACTGTAAAGGTGAACAAGGTATTCCTGGCACAGCCCATCCTATATCATCTTGTGATGCAATGTGGAATACCTCTGCCAGCTCACGTGTGAAGGAGGTGAAGAAGGGGGCTGAAGAGCCGGAGGACAGCGGCTTGATCTCAGAGGAGGTACAAGAGGGGTGTTCCCCTCTGGCTCACGTGTCTGTCCACTCTACATCTTGTTTCCGTGGAAGGAAAATCAGGATGTGGCTGGTCAGTGGGGTTTTCCTGTGGGTGTCAGCATTCCTGAGGGCAGGCAAAGTATCTTGCAATGGAAGACCAATATCCGAGTGAAAAATCTTTCTATGAGAACTTAAAAAGCTCAGCTGGGCAGCAAATGACTCCCTGTAACACAGCCTATGGCTCCTGTTACTTACAGAGAGGAAAATAGGGGCAAACTGTGCTCAGGCAGTGCAGAGCCAGGATAGCTGTAAAGGAACAGGCAGCCAGAGCCCATAAATGGCAAGTGCCTACGGCTGTACTAGCTGTGAAGCAATAGTGCAATAGTAGAGTAACCTGGGGAAGTGGCAAGAAACTTACTGCCCTCGGCTATCTGCAGGTGTGTCCTATAATGGTGTTGCTTACTGGCTTTCGGGTTATCCGATAGCAGCAGATCTAGTAGCAGTCTTGCCTTGTTTCCCACACAAGAGTGTCTTGTACTACTGCCAGGAGTCTGCTAGCACTGCAGGAGGTTTCTTGCTGCTTCCCCAGATGAACAACAAAGGGAAATGCAAGATCTCATCAAGGGATGGGAGGCCTTGTGAGACCAACCCGTGTGTGCCATAATAGAGAAATAGGTGATGTTATTGCAGTCAGGCCTGAGTGGGTTGGAAGCAGGTGTTGCCACTGCAGCAATTTTTTGGCTATATTACAGCGGTGACCTTCTTTCCTATTGATGAATTCCACGCATCTAAACACCCAGTGCAGATTATTTCACAGGGGTTATGTGCAGCAACAGGGAACAAGGTCTGCTAGCTGCTGAGGCCACAAAATCCTTTCAAGGTAGAGTTTATTTTGGTGCAGAAGACAGACATGAGCAAGTGAATGTCCTGATCATGACTATGTTATTCTTGAATGGCACAGCTGGGTTGGGCACTGAAGACCCTACTGCATAACAAAGAAATCCTGGAGGAAGGGAACTAAGGATTAGTGGGTTGAAAGTAGTCGCTATCAGAGAAGTAGTGAGCCTAGGGTGGCGTGGAGAGTAGGGGTGAGGGTTTGCTGACCATGGTAGATGGGGGTGGGGGAGGAAGGGGAAGGGGAAGGGGGCGG